TTTTATTGTAATAAAATGGCATTTATTTAGTGCAGCAATGGAATTTATCAGGTCAGCAGGGTTTTAACTAGCCCTCTCGTCCACCTTTCATTATGGGGCCTGCATCTGTGACTGGGTGGGAAAAGGCTTGAGGAAAGGTCTGGGCTCCCTTACTTCCTTATGACCTCAGTCAAATGATGTTACTTCCCTAGGCCTCAGTTTTCTCATCAGTTTTTTAATTTATAGAAGCCTCTGGCCTACTCAAGTATATTGCCAGAAATTCTCTCCTCACTCTTTCTCCCGCATTATTAATTCTCTGTCTCTACTGGGTCATTCCCATCTGCAAGCAGAGATATGGCATCCTGTCTTAAAAAGCCTTTTCTTTATTTCCACCTACCCTCCAGATAGCACCTCATTTCTCTTCTTCCATCCTAGCAAAACTCCTTGAAAGAACCACCTGTGCTCACTGCCTGAAATTCCTCTTTCCCACTTCTCAAAACTCTCTCCAGTCAGGCTTTGGCCCCTGCCGTTCCATCAAAGCGACTCCACGAATGTCAGCCATGACCTCCTTGTTTCTAAATCCAGTGGTCCATTCTTAGGCCTAATCTTTCTTGACCCCTCAGCAGCATTTAACACACTTGATCATACCTTTCTTCTTAAAGCCCTTTCTTCACTTGGTTTCTAGAAAACCTCTCCACCGTACTCCCACTCCCACCTACTTCATTAACTGCTCTTTCTCTGTCTTCTTTGCACGTTTCTTTTCTACTTCTCAATCTGAATATTGGAATGGCCCAGGGCATCTCATCCTTGCGCATCTTTTCTCTTTGATCCACATTCCTCCTTAGGTGATGTTATCTTCTGAGGGCTTTAATACCATCTTATGGTCGTGACTCCTGCATTTGTGTCTCCAGCCACACTTCTTCCCTGAACTCTAGATTTTGTTTCCACTTGACTTTTCAGTACCTCCACTTGGATATTTAGTGAACATCTTAAAGTCGACATCTCTGACACTAGACTCTTAACTCTTTCCACCCTTGCCCCCCAAAACCTTCTCTTTCTAGTCTTCCTATTTGAATGTCATTCTTCCCTCCTGAGTGAATAGTAATTTCAATGTTTTAGTTGCTCAAGCCAAAAACTTTGAGGCCGTTCTGACTTTCCTACTGTCACACTCACATCCTTGGTTCAACCACTTGTCGTCGCCTCTATCACCCTGATCTCTTATTTGGCTTATTACAGCAGCCTCCCATCTGGCTTCCTTGTTTGCATCTTTTCCTTTTTAAATTTTAAATTAAATTTTAATTTTAAACCCAGCTTTATTAAGATATAATTGACACTTAACACTGTATAAATTTAAGGTGTACAATGTGTTTATTTGATACATTTATAGATCCCCATGGTGCTTATCTTCATATTTACCTTATTCTGTGTCTATCTCTCTCAACTAGAATATAAGCTCCTAGAGGATAGGGACTTATTGATTTTGTTCATCGCTGAATGGCTAACTCCTAGAATTTAGCTGACTCCAATTTTAAGAGTGGGTATTTAAACATATTTGTGAATGAATGACTAAAGGAATGATTCTATAAAACCAGGGTGTTAAGAAAGGTGATCTCTAAGGTCTCTTTCAAATCTCCTTATCCATGATTTTGTACAGTTAATAAGTACTTTCTCTGTTTCACTAATTACTTGCAAATGCATATAAAACCACATGGTAAGAAAGAACAACCTCGAATATGTTTAAGTCAAAGAAATTGGCCAGACCCTGAAATGAGTTTACATACTGGTAGTTGCACTCATATATGAATAAAGAAAGAACAACCTCAGCTGAACTAATTCGCATAATTATAATAGCTAGCTTTTTAAAAAGTTCTTTCTATGTGCTTTATATTATCTCATCTATTCCTCAGAACAACCTTGTAGGATAGATATTATTATTTTTATTCTCCAGATGCAGAAATTGAGAAAAAGAAAGGATTAACACCTAGCTTGAGGTTACACAGCTAGTAACTAACAGAGCCAGCACTTGAACCCACAGCTATAGCTCTTTATTGCATATCATCTTCTAGAGAATACAAAATGAAATTCTTTTAAAGTTAATGGTACGTAATATTTAAAATATAATTCATATCAACCTTCCATTATACTCTGCCATAAAAATATTTTAATATACATCTTTGAAACATGGATATTATAAACATTAATTCCATGAAATATGATTATTAATAGGTGACATTATAAGTAATGGAAATAAAAATATTATAATTTCCTCCATTTGTTTTTTTGTTTGTTTGTTTGGTTGATTTTTGTTCTGCTTTTAACTCTTAAATTGTTGAGCTTTTTATTAGTCTTCATGTATTTGGTATATTAGAAACTGTGATGTCATTCCAACTAATGGAATTTTCACACAATCACTAGGACGTTAACTCATCTGAAAATCAATGAGCCTTTACAAGATTACAGGACGGGATTATTTCCTTGTTTCGTCACTGTCTTCTTATTAGCTTTGAGATCCCAGCATTGTTTCATGATCAAGAGCTTTTATGTTTGTGTGTAAACCTGTTCTGTCAGGTGAGGGAGTCAGGGGTTCTGCCCATGGGGAGGAGCGAGGGGGACTGCAGGAGTAAGTGAGGTGAGCACTAAGCCATGGTCTGTGGAATGAGCCCCTAGCATGATGCAAGGGAGAGGGAGATAAACACCTTTGTAAGTATAACAGTTTATTCTAGTTTGTGCTTAAAGCTTTACATTCTCATTAATCCTCAGTACACTCCTGTGAGGAATGCGCTGTTTTACAGGTGAGGCTTAGTGGCACACAACTAGTAAACTGCAAGGCTGAATTAAAAGCCAGATGCTTCCTACTACACTGTTCCTTGTACATCATTGTATTGTTTAGAGCTGAACCAAGAGCTGCCCATGAGAGAAGGGTGAGGGCACCACTGGTAGCTCAAGTTTCAAGCTACAACACCCATGTTCCATTCATGTGACTATTCTGTACAAGGAATAAAAAGCAAGTGCTCAGTGAATATTGCCTATAAATCCTTAATTCTGCGAATTTAAATAATCTGAATTCATTCTTGTGGGGTAGAGAAGCAGCGGAGTGTCTTTATGTAACTACTATTTTACTTAACGCCTAAGTAGAAATCTCATTTCGGTTTGAATTAAGAGTTGATTAAAGAGTAAAATGTCAAATTGAGTTGAGAAATTCCTTTTGAAACAGCATTAAAAGGAAGTCCCCAAAGAGCATATTTGTCAAGTGTATATACAAGGAAGAGAGTGGTCCTTTCAAGAGCGAATGTTGGGCTAGACAAGCAAAGAGATTTGTGAGAAACTGCCTGGTAAGAGGGAAATGTAGGCAGGTGGCCTCTAATATGTGAGAACAAAAGTATCTTTGTTCTTTGAAGCTGAAGAGGGCTGGTAAAACTGAAATAATCTATAATTGCAGTTAATTCTCTTCTAAGCATCTTTTGTGAATGCTTTTTCACCACTCTAACAACCAGCAAGTGTGTTTCTCAGGGGAGGGAGGGGACAGGGGCAATGCGCCCCCACCCCTTACTGGTGACTGAAGTTAGCAAGCATCTTCATACAGCAGGCACTCTCTCTTCACATTAATTTTTCTGGGTGGAAAAATAGATGCTTCCCCAGACCCCCATTTTTTTTGCTGGATACTCACCTCCAGATGGCCTTTTAAGTCAACAAAGCCAAATTAAAATTCTCAGCGGTTTGAGGAGTAGGTGCCTTAATGAATAAGGTCTTTTCTCACTGAGTCTTGTTCTCACACAGCTGATCAAGTAAGGAGCAGTAGAGTCAGGCAGGAGTCAAAACTAAGCTAGAATTACCCAAAGCAGGAGAGTGTTTTCATGATAAGCCAACTGGAAAGACTGAGGAAAGGAGCAGTGGCACTGTGTGTGACAGGGCAGCTGTGTGCATGCCTGCATGTGTGAAAAAGTTCATTCTTGGCAATTATTTCCAGAGGAGGCAAGGGGCCAATAAAGCTTTGTGAATGCTGGCTCATCTGTCATTTCCAGCTGTCTTCCCTGTTCAAGTCCACCTGCAGGCTCATAGCAGCAGGCCTGCCTGCACCTTCATTTACAGCGCACCAGCATCACCTTCCTCAGGCAGTCAGGATCGGGTGTGGCCCTGGCAAGAAATGCTTTTGAGCTTATGGAATTTTAAATTCCCGTCGCCCCGGGCAGTGGAGACTAGCAAATGAGAAGAGCGGGATGTTCTCAAGGTTCAGCCAGAGGATGGATGGTAAAGTAAGGGTTGGCAATGTCCCTAGAGCGTTGAAATAAAAAAAAGAAAAAATCAAATCATTGGATCACTGCTTTATAACAGTGATGTTTTTGCTTCTTTTAATATCCTGGCTTTGAGTAGCGTGCTGGAGGAATCGGCTGGTCAACGAGCACAAAGTTTACCGAGCACAAAGTTTACTAAATGGTAGTCATTTCCTGGGCTCAGAGATGACTATTTAAATCAAATTTGGCCCAGGCTAAAGAGAGAGGAATATATGGGAAAGGGGATTCTCTTATTTCATGCATGATGAAGATGATTTCTCTGCCAATTTGGGAAGGGGTAGGAGTGGGGCCTGGAAGACTCCCATAACTATAACTAGCAACTGTTTAATATCTTGTTTCTAGGAAGTGTTTCAGTGGGGGTGCACTTGTGCTGTGTGAAGCATGATTCACGTGATAGAGAAGGGGCAGGAGTGAGGACAGTCTAGTCTCTAGCTCCCTGAAGCCATGTGGGATTAACAAGGACACGCACACTGGTCTGGTGCCTCCCAGGCCACCTCTCCCCTCTCCTCTTGCAAAATAAATAGGCTAAAATGTAAGCTGAAAAAAAAAGAAGTTGAATATATAGACTATTTTGGTCTTAATTATGTAAATATTACTTTAGATATAGTTTAACATTAAGAATCACTATCTAAAAATTATCTTTAAAAAGAAAATTCTTTTCATTCCTTTTGCCTCATTGATGTGGCAGTGATCGGGCAGCAAACAGAAACTTCAACAAGACAAAACTTATAGAGTGCATTAAATAAATATAAATTTTATTAAAAACACTCACATAGCGTTATCAGGAATGATATAATAATAAACGCTTTCAAATAACCTGCATTCATAACATTACAATACTTACAGTATTTATAACCCTCCTCAGATTTTATGGACAAACCAAACATCTCATGAAAATGAAATGAAACTAAGTTTTTAAAAAAGCATAGAAAAATGCACACAGAGTTCATTATCTTAGTGTCAAACTGCAAAAATTTCCTACACAAGTTGACCACTAGCTTTAGAAGTGAACTGTACACCACTGTGCGTCAATCAAGATGAAAAATTCATTCAAGTAAAGTTGACACCACTCAGAAGCATTTTCAAGTATGGCTATATAGTCAACCTGATATTCCTATATAAGCAAATTGGATTTCTGCTTTCCATTCATTCTGAGGCAGGTTGATATTTACAATTATAGATCTGATATTTACAATATGCCACTCAATTTCCTCTTCTCCCTACCTAACCTCTCCCCAATCCCCAATATTACACTTTCTGCTCTTGTAGGCCAGCAGTTTGGCAAGTGACAGTGGGTGATATAGAAACCAAATATTCATATAGAGATGGCTGACTCAAAACCAATAGATGTGCATGTAGTAACCAAATATTTGGGTTAGATATAGGGTATACACAAAATATTAAAAACATGTGGTTTGACATATGCAAAGCAAATATTTTTGAAATTTTTGTAAATTGGTCACGGCCAAAAACCAAAACCAAAGTTTTTTAAAGACAAAAGCCATGTCATAAAGATTTGACCAATAAAACTCAAAGGCCTCCTCTGATTAAGAATTTATTTGAAATGTTAGTAAGCAAAAATGTACTTAGACCAAAACGTAATTGTACAGTCGATTGTATACCACACCCGTAAGAGCTTCACCTGTTTGGAGAAGTCTTCATGGATCTTTACGTATACTGATTATAGGATCAAAAATTCTTTATAGAGAGTTGAAAGACTTTAGCCAACAATCACTTGCCAAACTCCTGCCTTACAATTTTCCCTTTATCAACTCAGTGCATTCTGTTTTCATGTAATTTTCTTCCTGCTTGACACAATCAAAATATTCCCCAAACTTTTAAAATGCTTTTCTTTACAATAAAAAGAGCCAACAGATTTACAAAATTAGTTTTAGTTACATTAGGACATATACAAGAAAATAGGAGGGATTCAAAATAAACAAGTTAAATCCCTGAAAAAGAATATATTTATTAACCTACAACAATTTTACATAAACACAGGTGACATGTTGGCATAAGGAGAACATGAGCTGAAATATCCCTGATTTTTTAGAACAAAAAGGTTGACGTTCAAGTTATACTTGCTAAGAAATCAAGTATTGAAAAAAGTTATGCTTTTTTAATAATAAAAAAGACTTGGAAAAAAACGATGGTACACAATGCTATAAGCTTTCACTCTCAGTTCAATATCCTATTGCCAAACTAGTGTTGAGGTATATGACAAGTAGGAGCATCACTCAAACCTTTAATGAATTCTTAGATCACATTATGATATATTTGTAGCAGGCTGAGTAGCACCATCATGATGTGAATTCTGCTTCAATCCATATATATATATATATTTTTATTTATTTAAATTTTTTACAGTACTAAAATACTAAAGCATTGCGTTAAAAAAGTTTTGTTTACAATTTAATTTACTTACTATACATCTCTTTCTTTCTTCTTTATACAAATTAATGATTTAAAACCATCACAGCAAACCAGCTGCCTGTTTTTTCTTTTTAATTAACAGATTCACATGGAACTAACCCTGTTTATTTATCTTATGCAGGCATCAGTCTGCTCAATCTCTCTGGTTAAGAGGACACTTAAGCTAAGAAATGACAACATCACAATGTACAATTATCAACACAAAGGCAGACTGTCATTCGGTTCGCTGAAGAGCAGACAGATCCATAAAATTGCTTCACATAAGTGAACAGCTTGGTTGAGTCTGTATAGCATGCAGTTAATTATTACCTGCAGTTGATAGAAAATTCTTAAAACTCTACATATTTGAGCAATGAACTTGTCATACAATTTTGTATAAAACTTTTACAGTATAGCATGTGAGATGAGCACCAGAAAACATATGTTTTGTGTACTAATGTATTCCCTTGAATCCAGTAAGCCACCTTTGGATTTAACCGGCTGTGTTAAAAATGGACACTCTGCTCATCAGCAGATGCATGGCTAAAAGCAAAAATATTTTAAAAGCTTTCCTTTCCTTAAAAAAATCAACTCTGCATTCTAAAATGAAAGTAAACTTTTTTTTTAAACGTCTCAGTACCTTAGCATTGTTCAAGTTGTCAAAGCTTAGGTAGGCAAAGTGCTTCTAAGACACCATTTAAAATATTTATACATATACATGTGTGTACATATACATATGTATGTGTGTGTGTATATCTATATATATATATATGTACAAATATATGTTTATTGTCCTACAAGGACTTCACTGGAGGAGCAAAATCCAGAAGCCTTTAAATGTCCACATTTTAAAAACTAAGCTTGTGTAAGAATAGGTAATTATGATAAAAACTTGAATGAAAAGGAACCCCTATTATTCAAGGGCATTGGAGTACACTGATAGCATCTTGATGATATAAAGGCATTAAATTTTCAACTGTTAAAGACACCATTTTCTTAGCACCATTTCTTAGAACATCCAAACAAATTCAATGTTTTGCTGTCTATTCATTTACTCTTCTTGTAGCTATTTTGATAAATAAAAGTTAATATTAAGATTACAGTAAAAACTGCATGTTAAAATGCCATAATTCCAGTATTTCAGTATATATATTCAGCACCAGATGGTATTTAAGAGTCCTGCCACTGTAATACTACAGTACTTGTGTTCCATGACTATGCAAACTCGGTATTATTAAAAATGGTCACAGATGTGTAGAGTTGCATGGGGGAAAAAAGTCACATTTACATATCATCTCATCCAATAATAGAACCAGTGTTTAAAAATGTAAATGGTGGAACACTTTCTTCCCCACCTTCTTTTTGCATAGAATGCTTTGGTCTTTTGCCTAGATGCCATCTGTGACCACTTAGGAGTCAGTGGAAATTAAGTGCTATGGTAAGATGACCTCTTTTTTTGCTGGTGAGCTGAGGTTCTTCCTACCCCATTTGTCATGAATACTGTGTCCTTTCCCCACTGTCCATGTCATGAGAACTACACTACGGACAGGTTGGTTGTGGTCTTTACAAATGAGGTAACCAACGCAAGGGGCGATATCATATGTATCTGTTGTAAGGCCCTGTGACCCGAGTGAAGGCGTAGGGAGACGTGGTGACTGTGGAGTCTGTGGTCACGGACATGGTCCTTTCAGCAAGGGACTTGACGAAGCGCAGGTAAGTGGGCTCGGAGGGCTCGTGCGGCTCAGAGGGTTCCCGTTTCACTTTTTTGCCGTGGGTTTTCTGAGGCACATAGTCCGGGCCGTACTTCTCACACTCTTCTTCTTTCTCACGGGCCTTTTCGGCCATCTTGGCTTCCCAGAGCGCCAGGCCATGTTTGGGCTCGTTCATGCTCTTGTGCTGGTAAAAGACAAGCGAGATCCTGGTGGGGTGATTCCTGTTGGGATTCTTCAAGGGGGTTGTGGCGTGAAGCTCACGCTTTGCACACTCAATGAGAATCGACCCATGAGTTGGAGCCACAGCCACGCCCCCGATGTCGGGATCCAGAAAGCTCTGCTCGCTGTCTGACCAGACCTCGTCGTTGTCCTCAGCAGCAGCAGGAGGCTGCCTTTCCTGACCGCCGGCCTCCTGGAATTTGTGTAAGTCCTCCTGGACCGAAGCCATTCGGTCGTGCTGGAGACCCGGGAGCATCTTCGATAACCCGTTAGCCGTGTGGGAAAGCAGGTCATTCTCCTTGTTTTGGAGATGCAGGGCATGGAGAGAGCTGTTGAACATGCCTGGAGCTGCAGTGTAGTTATGGATTATATGAGCGGATGGGTGATGTTCACCATTTTTATAGTCTATGTTCGGACTGCTCAAATTGGGTGGTAGTCTAGGGGTGGCTCCCATGAAGTGACCATCCATCTCATGAGTGGAATAAGGAGGAATCGTCCCTGCATGGTGTACGTTTGGCCTAATAGTACAACTGCTAAAGGTATCTCCCTGCATATTTTGGTTTCCGTAACCTAAGTACTTAGAAGTAAAACCCTGGCTATTTCCAAACCTTGGCTGGTAAAGTGTATGGATGGGTGGTAGATTTAGCTTGGAGAGAGGGTTTTGGTTTGGATACCTATATAGATCCATGGGCTGAGACTGGGGAGAATAAGAACCCAGATACCGGGAGCAGTTGTCCATTGACACGTTTCCATTGCACTGATATGATGGATACTGGTTATTCTGATTTAAAAGCCTGGAGTAGGGGTTCATGGGATTAGAAGAATTCAAATATGAACCTGCAGCTTGGGATGAGGTGGAATAGAAGTTCATAGGGTTGGCACCTCCATAAGCATCTGAAGTGTGTGAAGAGCTCGGATACGGACTAACTGGATTGGGCCGTCTCATGTATAGACTGGAGGATCCAGAAGAAGAGTAAGAGTTGACAGCCTCTGACTGAGGGTTATTAGTCAAGGGGTGACGTGGTGGCAGCTGCTGCTGCTGCTGCTGCGGCTGCGGCTGCGGCTGCGGCTGCGGCTGCGGCTGCGGCTGCGGCTGCGGCTGCCTCTTAAAGGGGCTGCGTCCTCAAGTGGATTTTCGCGGTGACGGACCTGCTCAGTCTGAGCACCAGTGCCAATTCAGCTGCGCGCACGGGGCA